CTCAAGGCACCCGGCTCTTCTGGTTGGTGGGAGGCGGGGGACCTTTTCGCCTTCTGCCTAATGGAGCATCGTTGAGATGAGGTTTGGGCGCACCTTGGCCTTCCCCAGGGCAGCCCGCGGCTCGGGGACACTGGGAACTGAGGCCCGCCAATCACACCCCCGTCGGCAGTGCGCTCCGACCCCTCTGGTCCAGAGCCCACCTCGCCGTGCCCCAGCCTTGTTAGGGGCTCCAGGACTTGAGGGGCCCCGGGCATTGGGAGGGGCCCTATGGGGAGGGGAGGCGCCAAGAAAGAAAGCCCTTCCAGGAGCCCTGGAGCAGCCCAGTCAAAAAGCAAGGCTGGGGTTTCCATTTGCTGCTGTCTGGGCCCGGGGGCCCTGGGGAGATCTCCCCCAGCGTGGGGCCTGCTCCGGGGCACACGCACAGCCCTGCTGACTGAGGGGGCGGCTCGCTTCACCTCCCGGCCCAGCCGGTGCGCGGCCGAGGCGGGGCCTGGAGGGGAGGCTCCTTGACTCACAGGGTGGGGTGGAGCCAGGCAGGTCCCAACCGGCAGGCGCCGGCGGGACTGCCGTGCAGCCTTCCTGTTAACAGGTCTTACTCGACCCCTATGGACCAACAGTTCCCACCCCCCTGGTGATACTGAAAACACATGGCACCGACCAGAGGCAGAGCACCTATGACTGACGTTCCGTGATCACAGCCCAGAGGCCTGCAAGCGGGAGAGCGGCCCCACCGAGAGGCACAGGCTGGGCTGCGCAGCCTCCTCCCTGTCCCGCCCTGGTCGCCCATCGGTGGGCCAGGGCCCCTTTGTTCTAACGCCTCCAGGATCCTCAGCCCAACCGCTAGACGCAGGGCAAAGTCTGAGGTGAGAGGCAGCTGCCAGGTGCCACCCTTCTGAGAGCTTTCTCCCAAGCCCGGTGTCCCCTGGACAGAAGCCCGTCTTTCCAGCCCCACCCCGAGGCGTTCACAGCCGTCACCCCGTCCGACAGCGCCGAAGCCCTGCGGCCAGGGCGCAGGGTTGCAGGGGCTGCGTCCGGGCTCCCTGACTCAAGAGCGGGGCCCGTTGATGGCAGGATGGACAGAGGGGACGTGCAGGTGCCTCCCTTCTACCTTCGGGACCCTTTCACGACGGTTCTCCAGCTCAGGCAGGAAAACCACTTCCCTGCAAAATATAAAATCTATTGCTGAGCAGAGCAACGAGAATTAACCTTGATTACCACAGTAATTTACTAATCAAAAGTGGAGACCTGCTAATCAAGCCGGAATTGCCAGCTGCTTGATTTTTATAGTAACATAACCAAAACTGCACATTTGGTAAACAAGGGGTGCGGGCACGATGGGGAGGCTGGGGGGCGGGGAGGGACGAGGCCTCCAGGCCGAGAGGTGGCCGGCTTCTGCTCCAGTGACCCGAGGCCGACCGATGGAAATGCCTGTGGGCGCGCGTGTCTCAGGCTGGGCTCTTAGGCAAAGGGACGAGTACGAGTGTGTTTGGGAGGGGCCCCCAGACAACATCAGTGGGGGGGTGGGGCACTGAGGCAAGAGAAGGGAAGGCAGTGAGCTGGTTGCTGCTGAGACTGCCTGGGACGGGATGCACAGCGGGCACGGGTGGGCCCCCGGTGGGACAGGAAGCTGTTCCTGGATGAGGGAGGAGGCCCTGAGGTGCTGCCTCCCTGGCACTCTGGGTGGCCTTGCCACAGGCAGGCAGACGTAGCCACAGGCGGACATCTGTGGCTGGAGGGGCTTGCACTGGGGGCCAGCTGCCTGTGAGCGAGCAGTTGGGAGGCTTTGGCTCTGCCGTGGAGAGAGGGCACCCCCAGTGCCTGCCGCGCTGCACGCTCCACCTTGAACCTCGCTCCGTTGGACATGCGCCTGCTGAGATGTGCCTTCCTGAGGAAGAAGGCTCCAGGCTCCTTGTGCGTCCGTCCTGTGTGCTTGCTGGGCCCAGCTACGCGGCCTCCCGAGCTAAACAGCTGGTCTGTGCCCAGAGCACCTGCCCTCTGCCCTGCCTAGCACCTGCTGCCTTGTGCTCCCCAGTTCCCAGTTCCCGCCCCTCCTGCTCGACAGGGCACGATGAGGAGACTGGACTGCATCTTCCTCTGCACCCCCAAGTCTAGAGACCCCGGCCCACATGGACTCTCAGTTCATTTCTGCGGAAGGGCATGTGGCAAAGGGGCCTGGGGGAGGGGCTGCTGAAGAACCCTCGGCCCAGGGGCAGCCTCTCCTCCACCTCGGATGGCCCGGGGGCCAGGAGGGCAGAGGGTGACAACATCCACGATGCACAGGAGCTCAATCTCTGCTCAGCGATCCGGGACGTCCATTCTATCACCTCAAGGCCCGGAAAGCTGAGCCACAGGTGCTGCCTGGACCCCCCTGAATCCCCCTTTTGACTCTGGCGTGGGGCTCCTGACTCCAAGGACCGCCTCCCCCACTGACCTCTCTGCCCAAGGCCATGGCGCGCACAGCCTGCAGGGAGGAGTGTGCGCACCAGAGCTCGCCCTGCCTTACCTGGGACCCCAGGCTCTCCGCAGGCACTCCGTCCTTAGGGACGGCTTCGGGCGCTCGGGACTCCGCCTGCCCTGGAAAGCAGGGCTCTGGCTGCGGGGCAAGGAGTGGGCGGGAGAGGGCGCTGCTGGAGGTGAGGCCGCCTGCCTGGAGTCGCCGAACACCCACCGTGGTGGCATGAGTCCCGGGACACGGGGTCCCAGGAGGGTCACAGAAGAGTCGGGGAACGACCACCATGCATCTCCCGCTCTCAACCGTCGTCTCCCAGGAGGGCTTGAGAGTGCACCAGCTCTCCGAAGACCTCTTATCCTGGACTCGAGAAAGAAGATAGAGAAGGTTTTTCCTCAGTGAAAATAGGACAAAGCATCAGTGAGAGTCAGAGAGCAGAGCCTCCCCAAGCAGTTGGCGTGGGGACAGGCTAGAGAGGCCTGGCCAGCAGCGAGGAGGTCCGAGCACACGAGCAGGAGCCTGCGACACCCAGAGAGCACGGGCTGCCGTCCCCAGTGCCGCCGTGGCGTGAGGGAGGCAGAGCGATCTGGCCGGCCCAGCCCCCAGCGGCAGCGTCGCGGGAGTCGTGGGAAGTCTCTCCACCCAGAGAGTCTTTGGAATTTGAGAAGACCCCGAGGTCGGGGAAGAATCCCCTCCGAGCAGTTCCTGGGCACCTGCTCTTGATGCCATGGCGATATTGGCAGGGGGAGACCTGGCGCCAGCACCAGGACAAGAAGAGCAGGCCAGGATGGACGTCGCTTGCTGCTCATGATCTGCTGCAAAGAGCCCAAGACGACACGGACGGCCCTTCCAAGGGCCGAGCAGCGCAGAACCGGCCCCCCGCCCCCTGCCCGGGCAGGCGCGGTGCCCCGCTGCTGCAGCGCGGCCCTGCCCCAGGACCCCGCCTCGCCACAGTGGCCCGCCAGGCGGCCTGCCGGGAAACCCACGTGCCTCGCCGCCCCAGTGCGGCCAAGCGCGCACTCACCGTCCCCAGCTCACTGGGCGGTCAAAGCCCCCCTCCCGCACCATGGTTCTCTCATCTGAGTCTTCATGAGAAGAGAAAACCCCAGCTAACTGGTCCGACCTACACATACAGAAAAATGGCAATGATAACAAGCAAACATTGATTGAGTGGTGCCAGACAGGATGTGAAATGCTTTACACGTATTTTCTCATTGAAGGTGACAGCACTGGGACAATGCCACATCACAGGACACAGCAGCAACAGCCTCTCTGCTGTTTCCTCCCCTGGACACGTCCTGAGAACCCCAGCCTTCCCGTCCGCCAGAACCCCTGTGAGTTTCCGTGCTGAGCGGCCAGGGCTTTCGCTGCCTCCTGGCCTGGGGCGCGGGCCTCGGCTCCCGGGCAGCACGCGCGGCCGCGCCCCTGCAGCGGCACCAGTGGCGCCCGGCCTGGGTCCACCTGTCCTGTGCTGTGCGCGCCCCTCAGGCTGCTGTGCGTGTGGAGTCGTGGCAAGTGCACACGCCTCCTGAAAACTGTCCTCAGCCCTCGGGAGTCACCTCGCCTGGGAGCACCTGGGAGGTAAACTTCTTTCCCGTGGAGGTGACCCGAGCCAAGGGAGGGCTAGCACAGGAACAGACAGCTCAGGGCCCTTACCTCAGGGTGGGATGGCCCGCGCGGCCATTGCCACTCCAGTGTCCCCGGGGCTGAGCTGCAGTGGCACCTTTGCCTGGCTCTGCCCCCAGCCCCCTTCAGGTCTCACAGGCAAGCGCTCCCTCCTTGAACCCTCGCCTCCAAGGCCCGGGTGCACCTCCCTCCAGCGCTGAGATGCCGGCGTCCCTTTGCCTTAAGACTCGCAGGCTCCGCTGGGTTGCGAATCAGCCGGACGGCCAGCCCAGGTCTCTCTTTCCTTTGCATGTGGAAACAACCTTAATGCTGAGAGGGCTTTAACTCCTTCACCCTCAGGCAGCGTGTGGAACCAGGGGCCACGGGCGGCAGTCCCGCCTTCCATGTGGGAAGTCGGGTCTCGGGGGGCTGGCTCTCGGGTCTCGTCTGGCGCCCGTGCTGGGCCGTGAGTTGAAAACCCCTTTCTCCAGCTGCTCACGTCTCACTCGCCTCTCCCTCACTGCCCGGGCCCCAAAGCCCGGAGCGCCCCAACACAGCATGTGGGAGCCCCCCAGCCCCGCTGGGCCAAAGTCATCTGGAATTTTCTGGGTTTTGTCCCTTTCTCAGGGGCTTCAAGCTCTTCAGTCCAAGGGGCTGGTTGAGCAGCCAGTCAGCTTTTGCTGGATGCGGTTTGGTAACTCTCCCCGCATCTCCCGAGGGAACTGGAGGGCTGCTGAAGGACCTGAGGACGGGGCTTCGGTGCACCCCTGCCCTCCCTGGGGGGCGGGCGCCTCTTTCAGGTGTCGTGAGAGGCAGCACACCTGCTGGAGGTCTCCAGGTGGAAAGTCAGACTGAGGGAGCAGCCGCACAGGAAGCCCGTGGAACCCAGGCTCTCCCTCTGCTTCACACCCGCTGCGGCTGACGGCCGACTCGGCCGGACGTCACAATGGCAGCGCGGCGCGAGGAGGCGCGGCGGCAGCGGGAGGTGTCCGAGTGCTGCCAATTTATCCCGCAATCAAGAGCCATCGCCCCACTTTGCCAAATCGTGCAGTGGTTCTCTCTGCATTACATCAGGAACTGGAGACAGTAGCAAACAGCATTACGACGTCACAAATCAATTTTATTGAAAACGTATTAGGTTTCAGTAAAACTGAAGGATCCAACACTGGAAGAGAGGAAGCCGGGGCAGAGGAGACAGCGCACCAAGATTTACTTCTGAGTGCTGCAAAATATTGAACTAAAAATAACATTAAAGACGAAATTTGTAATGAATCTCAAGCTGCTAAATTCCCCAAGGCTGGGTCTGCCAAAGGCTCTGCAACAACCCTCTGTTCTTTCCTGTCTTTATGTAAATATTTTATACAGTTGTCTGTGCGCGTGTGCGCGCCCACTGTCATTTATATTTCAGTCCACTCTAAAATGGCTCTCAGGCTCCCGCGAGCTGAGCGCGGTGCGGATGGGGCTGCGCCGAGAGGTGGGTTGGAATGGGGAGGCTAAATGAAGACGGATACTTAATGGACTTCTTGTGTACTCCTATTCGGCTGCCATGGTTCCTGCCTTAAACCTGATTTGTAATTCTATGGGTTTTGTGACATTATGATAAGATGCGCTGTGCGGAAGGCTCCCATTTAGCAGGGACATTGATGGGCGTTCGCGTTAAAGAGAGTGGCTGACGGGCGGCCGGCTCGCGCCCCGCGGCTAATGCGCAGCAGCACCGGCCCCGCCGCAGCCGCCGTATCTCATGCTTTTCCCTGCATTAGACTTCGCCAAAGTGAACTTTTGGAAGAATAAAACACTTCCAAGGTAAATTCAATTTTCCCGAGTGTTGAACTTAGCTTTCCCTGTCACTTACCACTCCACTGGAGTTGGGGGTAGAGGAGAGCCTTGGCCCAGCTGGCGCACCGGGAGGATTGGAGCCTGAAGGAGAGGCTGGGGCTCGGGCGAAGGGCGGGGCCTATGGGCCGCGCCTGAGGGCGGCCTTCTCCCGCGGCCGGAGCTCCAGGGGCTGGAGGGGTGGCAGTGGGGGCCCGCTGACGTTCTGTGATCTGCTCTGCGGAGGAGCCGGGGGCCTGCCGAAGGGGACAGGGCTCCTGGCAGCCTCTTTCCTCTCCCAGGCCTCCTGTCAGCCGGCCCTGGCGGTGCCCTTCCCCGAGCCCGGCATGCCCCAGTGCTCCTGCTGCTCCTGCTCCTTCCCCCGGACCCGCCTGTCCCGTCACTCTGGGGGCTCCTTCGATGGCTCGCCAAGCTGGCGCCTGGCGAGGTGGCTAGCAAGGCGCTGCTGGGGCCTGTTGGGTGTCTCCCAAGCGGGCAAACCGTGGCTCACGTGGAAACATTGTGGGGGCAAAGGGACAAAGCGGCACGGGGGACGCCGGGGGCCCCACACTGGCTGGCACAGGACTGACACCCCTGATGTAAACCCGCCCCCCACTGGGCCAGCGCACTCTGTCCAACACCTGCAGGCTCTGGGACGACTGCTGCGGCCTTGCGCCTCCTCTCCTGCCGGAGCCAGGGCCCCACCGCGCCGTTCGGGACAGCCACAGAGAGCGCTCCCTCCTGACGGGGCTGCGGCGTGACCTCGGGGTCGGTGGGGCTGGGCCGTAGCCCCTGCTGGGGCTCAGGGCACGGAAGAGCGGCGGACCCTCCGGCCAGGCCCGTCCACGTCTGGGCCGTGTGACTCGTGAGGGCCCCACAGCCACTGCGGGTTCCCAGCTCCTGTGGCTGCAAGAAACAGAAGCGGCAAAGGGAACTCTGTCACCCGTGAAGAAGCAGGGACCGTGGAAGGACCCAGAGCAGAAAGGACAGCCCAGCCCTCCGGACGTACAGCCTGGACCTGGGGCCACTGCCAGGCCCAGGGGGCCTCGCCGCCGGCGGCACATCCCTCTGCCTCCTCCCGCAGGGCAGCCCTCGCTGCTTCTTCAGAACAGAAGGGTCAAGTCCTTGGGCCCCAGTTACTGTCCCCGGCCCACGGGCAGGAGGTGACTGGCACAGCGTGGACCACATGTCCAGTCTAGTCCCACTGCAGCAAGGATCGTCCAGCCCTTGTCACGCACCGGCTGTGACCTTCTAGCTGTCAGCAGAACGCAGGATTCAGGCCGGGGGCTGCCAGGTGGCGGTTGGCTTGCAGGAACCCAGCCCGTGGGAGGGGTGGGCTGCCTCCCTGGGAGGCCTCCGCGCCACAGCCTGATCTGTGACCCTGAGCCCCTCCTTTCCTCGGACAACACGTGTTGTCCAAAAAGCAGAGGCAAGGGCGTAAGAGACGCACACCTGCGGACCTCTGAATGCCCAGCCTCTGCCTGGCACCACAGAAGCGACATGTGGCAGGCAGCATGACAGCCCCCAAAGACCAGGTTCTTAGGCCCCTCGGGCGGCTGTAACAAAGCGAGAGTTCATTCCTCACAGTCCTGCAGGCTGGAGGTCCGTGACCAAGGTGCCTGTGTGGCAGAGCTCTGGCGGGGACCTTCTTCCTGGTTCACAGTCATCGTCATCTTGCCACGTCCTTGCATGAATGACAGAAGACGCCTGTTTGATGGGGCATGAATCCCAGGCCTAAGGGCCCCCTCCTCATGACCCAAGCAATGTCCCCGGCCACCCCTCCTAAAAGCATCGTCTCCGAGGGTCATGCTTTCAACATATGAACCCGCAGAGGACACACGCACGCTGGGACCACAGCAGGTTTGGATCCCTGGAGCTGAGAATGTCACCCCCTACGAAAAGAGGTCTTTGCAGATGTGACTCAATTAAGGCTCTTGCGATGAGATGAGGAGATGTCTTATCTTGGTGAGTCCCAAGTGCAGCCAAAGCAACCTTGTAAGATGGAGGCCGAGGGGGCTTTGAAGATGCCAGTGCTGAGTCCTGGGGAAAGGCAGCCACAAGCCAGGGAATGCCAGCCGCCACCAGAAGCGGGAAGAGGCACAGGATAGACTCCCCCAACCCTGCCCCAGGGTGTCCTCAGAGAGCACGGCCCTGCCGATACCGTGACTTGGGCCTAGCGATACTGATTTTGGACTTCGGGGCTCCAAAACCGCGAGAGAAGAAATGTCTACTGTTTTAAGGCATCGGTGGGTGGCGATTTGTCACGGCAGCCACAGGAAACATGAGACAGGTCCTTCTCACAAGGGGTTGTGATGCGACCGCCGCTCGGAGCGCCAGCCCCGGGCCACTGGCTGCAGGCTCTGTGTCCCAGACTCCGGTGGGTGTGGCCGCACCCAGACCCGGCTTGTTCCTTGGGTCTCTCCCAAGAGTCCTTCTGCCCCACACAGTGTGAGCTCCTGGAGACCCAAGACCTTGGGCCATGTGTCCCTGTACACCCCCAAGCCACCATGATGCTTGGTAGAGAAGAATGTATATAAAGAATTATTTTTGAATTATCAGCACAAGTGAGCAGCTAATGAAAAGTGAGTTCGTTAGTAAATGAACAGATGTCTTACAGCATCATCTTATGTTATTGTCTTACATTCAGTAGGCCTCTTAAAACATGTGACTTCCCAACCAACCTTAAAGGCCCTGAAGACAAGGACCTCTGCCCTTGCAGGAGGGACCCGCTCGGCATAGCCCGCAGCAGGTGCTCAGTGAAGACCTGCGGACTGATTGGCTGGTGATCGACGAGCACCCGGACCAGGCTGTACCTGGGCCTGTCACCCTTTTGAACTACGTGTCCTTCCCTTTGTCGGCAAAGCCTGTAACACACAGAGAAGGAAGCGTACAGTCTTGGGGCCAGGGGGATGCCCGCCGCGCATTGAGGGCGTCCAAATGGAAAACGGGTATTTGCCCAGCAAGGACACCTACCCTCCGGCCTGGGATGGGCCGGACTGTGAGCCTGAAGTTCTGTAGAGCTAACGGAGCTCTCAGCTTTCTAGGAGCCTGCCTTTGAGTTGAAACTTTGCTCTGCTTAAGCACGGGAACGAAGTAAAATGCAGGAGCGACGACCACCACAAGGCTACGGGCTCTACTAGCAGGGCTCCCTGCAGAGACGGCTGCTTGGGAAGCAGCGAGGACCTGCTGCGCAAGGGAGCTGACCCAAGACACCCAGTGAACCCAGGGCGAACACGTGGAGGTTTTGTGTAGACGTGTCTCTCATCTTTTTTTTTTTGAAGATTGGAGATTATTTCAGAAAATTACAGGTTTTCAGCATTTTCTTTGGGGAAATCAGCTGCCACTCTAGAAGCCAAATTTCAAGCCAGGAAACACTGCGCTGGGAGCTGAGCATGCTTGTGTGGAGACAGGCGTGGACCCTCGGCAGCCAGCCCGGCGCCACAGGGGTCGGGCCTGTGTCCCCTGCATGGAGACCAGCCCCGTCTGCCTTCCTCCGGGGGGCCAGACGCCTGCCCTGCGCCGCCCCGGCCGCACCGTGGTCCCCCCACACTCGCCTCGGAGCGGGCGGGTGCAGGGCGCCGATGATGGTGGTCCGCACGGGGCCACGGTGCACGAGGAGCTGGATGGCAGCTCGGGCGGCAGGAGGGCTTCTTCCCCACATGGGTCCCTGGCACTCCCGCCCGTTTTGTTGAAGGAGTGTGGGTGCTTGGCAGTAGACCCAGGCAGCGGGAAAGGTTCGAAGCAGCAGCACCTGGACGGCCCCCTCAGTGGCGTGGCCGCCGCGCGGAGAGGTTCGCCCCCACCGCAGTCGTCTCTCTCCTTCCCTCCTTCCGATCTGGTCAAGGCAGAAGACCGAGTCTGGTGCCCAGGCACCTTCAACAGGCTTCCCACACTTTTCTCATCTCTTTCACCTGGAAGGGAACAGACCCAAGGCTCTGCGCTGTATGCAAGCACGGGTATCTAGCTAGCATTTAATAATGTCTTGTTTTCACATTATTCAAGGCAGGTGACCCTGGTCTTGCATCTACGGTTATGATATAAAGGCTTCTTTTAAGTGACTGTGTGTGAATGCAAAGAACGGGCCAGATGGCACAGGTGTGCTGGGCAAACGTGAGTGCAGGTGTTCAGCGGATGGCGGTGTCAGATGCCTGGCGTTTGGGGATACCTGTCCCTGCCTATCCTGAGGGGCCCTCCAGTTCCTCTTTCTTGTGAGGCCCTGGGAGAGCCTCTCTCTGTCCTCAGCGGGCCACATCTGGTCCCTGGCTTCCACTTAAGGGGTGGGCCTGCAGTGGCCTGGGCCATACAACACAAAGGCTGCCCTTCCTTTCCCACCGAACCCCTGGCCTGTGGCCACAGAAAACGCTCTTTCCCTCCCACCGGCGCCGCCTGCACCTGCCCCCGCTTGAATTCCCTTGAGTCCAGTATTTCCATCAAAAAACATATTTGGGTGTGTGCGCTACATCAGGGCCCAGCAAGTTTTTCCTCCTGCCTGTTTACATTAAAAATACTCATTACAATTCAAATTACTTTCAAATTATGCTCATCTGGATTTCTGTGCTTTATAAAGACTCCCATGCCTATCTCTTTCTGAGGTTATAAGTTAAATTATTTTTATTATGATAGAAACTGCTTTAAAGACTCCGCAGACACTTGCTAATCGGTGGATAAGACAGCCTCATGCTGAATGAGCCTCTCTCACAGTCCACCGTGGAGCGGGGAAACTGAGGACCCGAGGCCCGGACACCGATGCTGCCTCGGACCCTCACGCTGCGCGCCGGGGCTGGCGGTGCGGCAGCCACAGTCCTGGGGGCGTCACCATCCCTGGCAGGGGGTGGGGCTGGGATGGGGGTGGCTCGCACTGCGCATCCTCAGTAGAAATGCTTGCACCCTCTACCTTCATCAGCAAATAAAAGGTATAAGAAAATACATGTTTAGGTAATAGGCGGGGACTTTCTAGCGCTTGGAGGCTTCAGCAGGGAACTCAGCGTGTACTTCCAAGCTAGCAGCTCCCAGGGCACCGCAGGAGGGTTCCTGTCAGAGGCCCGGTGGCCCCCACGGGCGCAGAAGGCGTGCCCTTCCATCTCTGGGACCACGCGCTTCATCCCTTCGCTCCCCCCTCAAGTTTTGGTGGCAGGGGTGAAAGACACCCTGCTCACACTGGATTAGGTGACATGTACTGGTAGACAAAGGGACCAGATGTCCAGGCACAGCTGGATCTATGTGTCTGGATGACATCAAAAAGCGTCTCTCCCCTCTTCCTTCCCATTGCCCCAGTGACCTCCTTCTCAGGAAGTCAGCGCAGCAGCCCCGGCTTCTCGGCCGCCGGCCTGCCGGCCAGGCAGCCCGAGCAGCCGGAGGCTGCTTTTCCTGCTGACCGGGCAGAGGTGCTGCGGCTGGCCCGCGGAGACACTCAGAGATACAGGAGTGCGCATGCGGGCCTGCTGTCCATGGCAAAGTGGCTGAAGCACCCTACACGTCCCATGGTGGCAGGCTGGGTAAATACATGGTGGGACAGCGTGCAGCCAGTGAAAAATGCTTTCAGAGAATAATAATGACACAAATATCCCTGACATATTGTTAAGCAAATACTGGAATGAATAAATACTAAGGTCACAGTTTTGTTACAAAATATATAAAATTAATAAAATAGGATGCAAATGTATTGATATACTCTCTCTGCATGGAAGAATTACAGATGAAATTATTTAAATTTTTATTTTCTAAGTTTCCTATTATGAATATGTATTCCTTTATATACTTAGAACAAAGTAAAAAAATATTGTTTAAACACCTGCATGGGCATGTGGTGGCTGACGAGGCGCTCTGCAGTCAGGGGCAGCAGAAGGAAGCTGCCCGTTCTCTGATCTGCAACTGGACCGATCCTCACGAAAACGCGGTGCCGCAGGCGGGCCGGAGGCAGGACGCGGCCGGCTGCTCGGAAAACGCAGCCCCGGGAGCTGGGGCGAGGGACCAGGGATGTTTACCCAGGAGAAATAAAAATCTATCTTTACACAAAAAGCTGTATCCGAACTTTTGTTGCAGCATGATTCATAGTTGCCAAACCTGGAAAAAGCCCACATGTCCTTCAAAGGGAGAATGGGTAAACAGCTCTGCCACTGCCCTATATCCATACAATGGAGCACCACTCAGCAACAAAGAGAAACAAATCTGATAAATGTAACAATTTGGATGACTCTTGGAGGCCTCCTGCCAGTGGAAGAAGCCAGTTTCAAAAGGTTGCACACCCTATTGGTCTGCTTCCTGGACTCTTGGAAAAGAGGAGCACAGCGCCGCAAGCCGCTCAGGTCCCTGGGGTGGAGGTGGGGGGGCGGGGGGGGGGGGGGCGGGGTGTGTGCCAAGGGAAAGCGGGAGCGCCCTCAGAAGGGTGGCGGCACTGTGCCGCGGCCTGACTGTGGTGCTGGGTGCCCAGGCCCACACACGTGTTAAAACCCGCACGACTTGGGCAGCGTAAAGGGAAGGCGGCCTCCAAGCTGCTTCTGCTCTGTGCGCCGGGCAGCAGAGGAAGTTCGGGTCTGTGTTTAACAAAATGCTGCCCTCAACCCCCCTAGTTTAGGTTTGCTGTCACACAGCCCTCAGCTGGGTCGTACTCCCGTCTTCCCCTGGGAAGCACGGAGGAAGGAGTCACGGGCCTGGGGATGGGGGCCCAGGCGTCCCCCACGGTGACTCCCCCCCCACCGCCATGGGGTGTCTCCGAGCTCCGCTGCGGCTCCCCCGGCGGCTGGCCTGCAGCGCGGGTCTCGAGCTCGCTCCCACCTGCCTGCCGTCCGCGCGGTGTCGGGTGATGGGGTTTGGGGTCTGCCGGGCGTTCTTCTTTCCTCCCTTCGCTGTCACGGCCATCATTTGTTAGTCTGAGGGGACGATTCTGTCACAAGCACATTGTCAGAAAGCTGCCGGCCTTGTGCGCCGGCAACAGGGGGAGGCCGCGCAGCAGCTGTGGTCGCATCAGGCACGGATCGAAGACTGCTCTCCACGTCCCCACAAACCTCATCCTGGCCTCTGCCCGCAGAGGTTGCATATGTGCAGAAATCCATCCCAGAGTGCCAGGCGGCTGGGTGCCCAGCACCCGTGGAGATGCCACTGGGTCAGGAAGCTCGGACGTCTGGCCCATCCGTCCTGGGACAGCTTTGACTGTGGGCCCCGGGCCGGGCAGTGAAGACAGCCGGGGGCGGGGGGGCTGCAGAGGCAGCAGAGGCAGAGCCGGGGCTTAAGGAAGGAGCAGAGGCAGCTGGGCTGGGAGTGAACTTGTCCAATTAACTGGAAAAACCTGAGGCCAGAGACAGCGCCGTGGCCCACGTGGCCAGGGGCGCTCCGCCCCTCTCTCCCTCTCTCTCTCTTTCTCTCTCTCACACACACACACACACACACACACACACACACACTTCGACCAGTGCCCTCCTTCCCAGAACACCTGCTTCTGGGGCTGCCGCCTCCGCCCCTCTCTCTGCACCCTCTGGGATGTGGGTGCAGAGACATCTGGGTGCAGCTGCAGGTGCTGCTGTGCCCAGGGCACTGGAGAAGCCAGAGATCCTCTCAGGTTCTTCACCCTCAAAACAGACCTCAGCCCCTCCCTCCACTGCTGCCCACCGGCCTGGCCCAAGCCTGCGCAGCCGTCGCTGCCCGCTCGCGGGCCTCCTGCTCTCGCCTGGGCCCCAAGTTAACTCTGCGCACAGCCGCCCCGCGGGCTTTTAGAGCCGGAAGCGGGGGCACGCGCCCCCCCCCGCCCCGTCGCAGCCTCCGTTGGCCCCCGCGCCCCGTCGCGCCCTCCCGGGGCCCGGCTTCGCTCCCTTCCCAGCAGCCCTCGCTGCCCTTCACCACGCTTTATTTTTAGTCACTTCACTGGATGGTTTTCCCTCTCGCCGGAGGTGCGGGCTGCAGGAGGGCCTTTGTCTTCTTCACGTCTGTGTCCTGGCTCTTACCGGGCGCGATGACATTTACTGAAACACGCTCTTTCTGTGAGCCTCGGTTTTCTCAGCTGTCAGGTGGGGGTGGCAAGTCCTGGGTGCTGCACCCCTGGGGGGCTTGTGAGGGTTAAATAAGACCCCTCGGTCTGCGATGGCAGAAACGCCCCAGGAGCCTCATTAGGCTGCTGCCACCTAAGGATGCTAATTTTGCAAATGCGTCCTCATAATCTCAGCACACTTTTGAGGTCCTATTGTCAGCTACAGCACCCCCATCCCCAGGCGAGACACCTGGGAGTCTATTGCAAATAAATTAGGGACGCCTCATTCTCAGCGAAAACGTCTCAGGGAGATTTATAATTTTATTTTTTTTCTATGTGTGCAGAATAACATAAATCAAAAGGAGCAATCGTCTACCTTGTGTTTTGACTACTTTGACCCTCTTCAACCTCTGCCAATTTTTATCTCATTTTTGTTTAACTTTATACATCAGAGTTTAATTTGAGAGCTGGTGGGGAAGACAGTGATGCATAGGTTCCATCAAGTGCGGCTGAAATTACCCTGTCCCCTGGGGCTTCAGGCTGAAGGGAGGGTCCTGGCCTGGCCCAGGGCAGAGGACGACTCACACTCGGCCCCTGGGACCCAGCCCCTCCGCCCAGCAGGCTCCGTTGCCGCCACTCAGGGATGGATGGGTCAGGCTTGGGGGCTCCTGGGACGGCGCCCCTCCAGGGCGCCCCCTCCCCAGCACAGCCCGGCTCAAGGCCTTGGCTGCAGGGGGCCGTGTCATTTTAGGGACCAGAACAGGACTTGGATTAACATCGATTTTTCCCTTCTTGACATCGTCCTCTTCTCTGGGAAACTGCGTCCAGGCGGCAGCACAGTCTGCCAAGGAGCACGGCTCTCCCGGGGCTCAGAGCGGCGCCCGCTGCCTGCGGGTGGCCTGGCAAGAGCCGCTGTGAACGGGCGGACAAAGGGGCGCGCTGCTTCCCTCCGCCTCATCGCCGCACGCCTTCCTGCTGGCCTCGGCCGTTCCCGGAGAGGACAACCACGGCTACTGACCGATGAACTGGGCCGCTGACAGAGGCGCTCGCCTGCTGCTTGTCATCCCAGAAACTTGCAAACGTAGCTGACGGGCGCCGGGGCCAGAAGGGGCCTGGCGGTCTTCTTGCGCCACGCTCATTGCTACAGCAGGCTTCTCCCGCGGAGCCTGGCTGGGGGCTGCACGGCTCCACTAACCCTCCAGGGCCAAGCCCCTGGGACTGTGACCCACGGGTTAGCAATTTTTAAACACACGTTTCCTTTGTGGCACTTACCACAGTCTGAAATGACATACTTGTTGATTACAGCCTGTCTCCCCACTAGACCCTAAGAACACTGACAAGTTCTGTAATTAATTCACGAGAAAAGTCTGTTTGTTCACCTGCATCCCTCGGCTCGGGCACAGGGCTTAACATCTAGGAAGTGCTCAATAAATCTTTCTGAGTGAATGAGTCCAGAGCAAGCAGGGATGGAGGGAGGCTGCGCTTTGTTAGCAGCAGGGCAGGAACAAGGGCACGGGGTTAAAATGCCCAGGTACGGACGTCACATTACATCCGACACCTGACCCCCCACAAAGGCCAGGACGGGGTGAGGGAGGCACTATAAGCAGCCGGACGGGGAGAACTGGGAAACAAGGCCAGTGACAGACGCCCCGGCAGAGCCGGCCCGGCACGCACTGTCCGCGCAGGCGCGGTTTCCGCTCTCGGCCCCGGGCCCTTGGGTCGGGCTGGTCTGCGCCGAGCTGTGATGTGTCAACGGCGCACCAGCGCTCAAAGGTTTATGTGAATAAAGAATGTAAAGGGCGTCACTAATTGCCTTTCTTTTGATTACATGTTGAAATGATCATTTTGGGGTATAATTGGTTAAATATTAGATTTAATTTCATCTTTTTTCTTCTTTTTAAAAATGTGGCTACCGTTAGATTCAGACAGTGCCGTACGGCCGCACTGGCTCCCGCGCCGGCCTGCAGCACCGCCCTCGGAGGGCCTCGCCGCCCGCGGCCTCGCCGCCCGCGGTCTCGCCAGCGCACCCCACGGACGTGGCCGAGGCCGTGGGTTCTGTCACCTTTGACCGAGTCATTCCATTTTTTTTCTATGTCCTCCTGAAATGTGAAAAAATTCTTTATATAAAATTTATTAATTGTACTAATATGATGAAAACCAGCAAATAACCTAACCATCTAAATAGTAGCATGGTCATATTAACCCTGTTGCACCTATAGAAAGGAATACTATGCGGCCATCCAAAATTCTGTTTACCACAGACTTTTGTGTTGTGATGTGGGAAAATCTGCGCCAATGCTCGATCGGAACGTCGCCCTTCCAGGCTGCACACGATCAGTGTAACTCGAGGGGGGCAGCTCAGAGAGTGGTGGGGAGGCGCGCCAGCAAACCGTGAGATGGCAAGTGACTTCTGTTCCTGTTCTCGGTGGGTTTTGTTCAGTGCGCTTTCGATGAAGGAGACTCA